CCCCCCCCCCCCCCAGATTCATTCAAGATTTTCCTCATTGTCCTAACAGGGCCGAGACACGATCATCTGCAGAGCTCAGGGTTGAGGGGTCTCCTTCCTGGGAGGCGTGGGGGGCCAGGCAGAGCCATGCTCAGCGGCAGCAGGTGGCCTGGTGCTCCAACGCCAGCCCGGCCCCAGGGCGTGTGCGTGAGGGTATGCGAGTCTGTGCGTATAAGTCTGTGAGTGTGCTGAGAGTGTGAATGCCAGGTGTGGGCATGCATGTGTGCATGTGAGCATATGTACACGCACGTGAGTGCACCAGAGTACACATGAGTGTGTTGAGTGTGCAAGTGTAAACACAAGAGAGTGTGGGTCTGAGTGTGTGTAAGTGTACTGAGTGTCTTGAGTGTACAGAGTGTATTTGTGGATGAGCGTGTATTGAGTGTGTGAGTATGTGCGTGTGTGAGGGCACATGTATATGTGCATGAATGTGCACCGGGGTTTGTGAGTATGTATGTTGAGCTTGTGTGAGTGTGTGTGTGAGTGTGAGTGTGTGATCGCCATCCCAGGAAGAGTGGCAGCTGAAGCACTCAGTGGGTCAGCTTGGTGGGTCGGGCAAGCACTGCAGGCTTGTTTCCCCGCAGGGCCCTTCCAACCCGTGTCCTCCCCGTGTGTCTCCCCAGCAGGGCTCAGAGGGAAGATGGGCCCCCATGGGCTGGGACTCGCGCTGGCATGCTGCCTGCTGCTGGCCTTTGCCTGTGGCCCGGTGCTGGGCCGCGTGCCCCGTGGGCAGCTCGAACAGCAGCAGCAGGAGGGGACCAGGGAGCCACCGCTGGACCACGCTGAGAGGTGAGGCTGTGCGGTGTGAATGCAGGAGCACTGGCTCAGTGGCGGGGATGAGCCTGGGGGTCAGGTGCCCCAGGGGGCTCTTTGGCAGCTAGAGGGGAAGGAGCAGAGGCCAAGGCTGAGGAGCCGGTGCTGGGGGGCAGAGGCGCCATTTCTCCTGTCAGTGACCCGGGCCTGTTATCTGAAACTGCGGACAGTAACCCCGCCTCATTCCAACCCCAGAGGAACGTGGGTCTGTGTCAGGTTCTGCAGCCTCATCCTTAAAAGAAGAACACACCAAAACCCCAACCCCCAGCTCTCGGTTTCTTTGCATCCTTGCCTGTCCTTTGAGAATATCTTCTAGGGTTCTAAGTACCACCTGGAAGTAGGAGACAGGGGCGATGCTGGGCTGAGAGCTGATCTCCACCACCCTGATGTCTGATCACATTGCAAGATGGGGGATGGTGGCCGAAGACTGGCACAAGAAGTGGTGGCTTTCCTTGAGAAGTTATGAATTTCCTCCAAATGGCACTGTCTTCATATATATGACCTTCGATGATATATAGACTCCAGGCTATTTGGGATATTTTGTAGGGATACATAAAATGCTTAGGATTACTCATGAAAATGCCATTGATCAAACACGAGGTCCTGACGCCTGATGCTGACTCTGAGTTTCTTTATCACCTTGCGCTTCGGGCTGACTTGATACCTGAGGCTTCGGGCTGACTTGGAGGACGTGGAACTTGCACAGGATTTGGGGCAAAGTAACATCTCCTTCGTCCTCCTTCTTTTCATCCAACAAACATTGACCGAGGGCCGTTATTGGTCTGGCCACATCCTCTAGGCACTGGGGACTCACACACGTGAATGACACAGTCACTGGCCTCCAGGAACTCCAAGGCTATGGGGGGACAGACACACACGATCCAGTTCAGTGTGTCCACGGTGTGGATGTGTGGGGTGGGGGAGGGGGTTGGGGAAGGCTAGGAGGAGGAGTGACTGGGTCTTAAGGACACCTGAGGAGCATCCCAGGCACAGGAGGGGAAAGCTGCCTGGCAGCCTGGATGGCACACGTGAAGTGTGGCCATTCCAGTGTCTGGCAGTGTAAGGGCTGGTAGGTCGTTGGGGTAGGGGGGGTTGGATGCGGGAGGGTGAAGGATGGGAGGGAAGATGAACCTGGTGGGAAAGGGTCTCTCTGGAACTTCATCTGTAGGGGAGTCACGGAGAGGTTTAAATTTCATGGTGCCCTAGAAAGAATGCTGGAGGGTGGCAGAACAGAGGATGAATTGGCAAGGGAGAGATGAATTCCAGGAGGGCATTCAGAACAGCAGTGGTCCCTAGAGGTGAGGAGAGCCGAGGGCCCAGCTCCTGGGGGTACTTTGATGGTTGGGTGGGCTGACTCCTCAGGACTCCGTGATCCTCAGAATGGATGGGTGAGGCCAGAGAAGCATCTGCAACGAGGCTGAGGGTTCCATTCTGGGCGACTGGCAATGCTGCTGCTGCTGTGAACAGGGTTTGGAAAGAGAAGATTCTAGGGATGAGCGGCAGTGATGGGCCATCAGTTTGGGACACATCTCGTGTGTGGGGCTTGTTGAATCTCTAAATGGAGACTTCTGGTGAGAGGTGGGTGGGGGTCCATCTGGGAGTCTAGGGCTTGTAGGTGGCTGAGTTTAGGGTGTATAGATCCATTTCCTGGATTGTCTGTGGTCTGAATATGCGAGCAGAGTGAGACAAAGAGCTGACCCTTCAAGACGGACTGTGCCACCTCCAAGGTGGCCGTGTCACAGCCAAAGAGCTGCAAGCAGATAGCACGGTGCAGTGCAGTGTGACGCCTCGAGGTAGCAGCATGGAGCTGCCGCTGCCCCCCGCCCCCCAGGAGCAGATCTGGTTGAGCCCTCTCATTTGCAAACGAGTCAGCTTAACATAGCATCTTCTAGAATCCTAGATACATGAAGGGGATGTCCAGTCACTCCACTGGCATGTCACGTGCCAGATTTCTCCCATGTAGCCTCTATCTTGCCAAGCTCCTCAAATTATCGCCGTTTTTGTTATCGTTGTTTCCACGACTGTCATTGCTGTCAACAGAGGGCAGGGGGCTCTTTCTGAACCTTCACTAAAAGCCTCAGAATTTGCCAAGAGCCAACGCAGTCTCTGTGGAGGGAAAATTAACACAGGCTCACACATCCAGGTGAGAGAAGGCCAGACAGGTATCCCAGGCCCTCTGGTGGCAGAAGAGAGAAGAGTTCCTGGCTCTGAGAGCTCTTGGCTTTACTCACTTAGGGATGAAGAAAAGCATGAAAAATACAGCTCCAGGCAGGAAGAGGAGCCCCCCGCATCCCGGTGCTTTCGCTGCTGTGACCCTGGTACTCCCATGTACCAGGCCATCCCGGTGCCACAGATCAACATCACCATCCTGAAAGGTCAGGCACAGAGACCAGCAGCGGGGACCGTCCCCTGGGGGAGGGGGCACTGCTCTGTCCTGATTGGAGGGCAGGGCAGAAGATGGAGTTAGGGAGGAGTGGGCAGGACAAGAATGGCTCCCTCAGGGCGCCAGCAGAGGCATGCTGTCATCTAGGGGGGAGAAGGAAATTCCGTTCCTGAGGCTCTGGCCCCTTTCCGAGAGGAGGGGTTGGGGAGGGATCCACAGGGGAAGGAGCCTCAGGGCGGCTCGGGGTCTCACCCCACCTGCCTTTGCACCGCAAGCCTCAGATTCACGGTCCTGTGAGCAGCCGATGACCTTGCACAGCCTGGGACAACTGAATCGGGAAGCCAAGCGGCCCGGGTCCCAGATGCTCAGGCCCAGCGCCCGCGTCTGTAGGTCATTTGTTCGGAGGGAGCCGTGGGCCCGGCTGCCCTTCCTGTTGCTTTTGGATAAACCCATACGTTCCCTTTTCTTCGCCAGGACTTTCAAGAAGGAAAGTTGCTTCCGGATGAAAATAGAATAATCCTTGAGGTTGCTTGACGCCACGTGTTTTCCCGTCCCATTTAGGTGAGAAGGGCGACCGAGGAGATCGGGGCGTGCAAGGTAAATACGGCAAAACAGGCTCCGTGGGCGCCAGGGGCCACACGGGACCCAAAGGGCAGAAAGGGTCAATGGGGGCCCCCGGGGACCGGTGCAAGAACCACTACGCTGCCTTCTCGGTGGGCCGGAAGAAACCCCTGCACAGCAACGACTACTACCAGACGGTGATTTTCGACACGGAGTTCGTGAACCTCTACGGTCACTTCAACATGTTTACGGGGAAATTCTACTGCTATGTGCCCGGCATTTACTTCTTCAGCCTTAACGTGCACACCTGGAACCAGAAGGAGACATACCTGCACATCATGAAGAACGGGGAGGAGGTGGTGATCCTGTACGCCCAGGTGAGCGACCGCAGCATCATGCAGAGCCAGAGCCTGATGCTGGAGCTTCAGGACCAAGACGAGGTGTGGGTGCGCCTCTTCAAGGGCGAGCGCGAGAACGCCATCTTCAGCGATGAGTTTGACACCTACATCACCTTCAGTGGCTACCTGGTCAAGCCCGCCACCGAGCCCTAGCCGCCCGCTAGGGCTAGCCTCCATCGCCACAGGCTAACCTCCCATTGTGCCCGTGCCCCGCCCTGCTCCGCCAGGCCCCCTCCCCCACCCGGGTTTCCCCGGCCCACACGTCCCCAGCTTTGGCATTCGACATGACGCCCCTCGCGGGAGTGGGAAGCAACATCGGCTGTGTGGGCCCAGGCCTTGCCGTGTCCTCACGTGAAATCACCAGGCGGGTGCCCGCGAGAGCTCCCCTCTGTGTGCACGTCCTTGAGTGACCCCTGCACGCGTGCCATGACACGCCAGGGTGTCCCAGAGTGAGCCACCCTTGCTCCCATTGCTGGGAATAATTAAGCCAATGCTGAAGGTTGTGAAAGGAGCAAAGTAAACCGTGGAAAAGAAAGGGAGGCATTATTATTTTTGCCTTTCTGCCAGCCTCGCTGGCTCCAGGCAGGAGGGCTGTCTCCCCACGAGGCTGCCGGAGACTTCCTGTAAGAGAAGATCTAAAGTAGATGCCAAGGGCGACAGGGGAAGGGGGTGGGAGGCATGGGGACCGGCTTAATATTTTAGGCCACTTAGGAACCTTCTTGGGGGACAGCTGGACTGACGTCCACATCCCGTGGACATTCCTGTGGCCTTGCCCGAGGGCTCAGCTGGTCTTTCTGAGCCACAACGGCGAGGGGGTTCGAACCGGGCAGCAAGGGTCAGCTCCTCAGAGGGACAGCCAAGCCCTCGGCCGTGGCCTCTGCGTTGGTGAGCAGCCTGCCCGCCGGAACCCGCAGGCTCCTGGCGGCAGATGGCCCCTGGCAGCCAAGCTCAGTACAACCCAGTGGAGCCGTGCATCCTGGTATGGCTCTTCCCGCTCCCCCACTCCACCCTTGCGTCCCAGACGGGCCCCACGCCTGTCACACAGGCATTGGCTTTCTGTCCCTCCTCTCCAACGGGTCAGCTGTGGAAGGGCCTCGATTTTGCCTGTGGAAGGAACCAGGGCCTTGATTTTGCAGCAGCTGTGGTTCCACAGCTTCCTCAATAGACCCCCCTCACCCACCGTCTCAGAGTCCTGCTTCCCGGAGGGTTCACCATTCAGCGCCCCAGCACCTCCCCTGGGGCCTCTTTGACCAGCAGCCTAGGACCAATGCAGGAGGGGGCTTTCCTGGGCCCCAGAGCAGGGGGGAGCTGGAAGGGACTGGAAAGCTCCCCGCTGCCTGTCTCAGGAGCTCCTGCGTGGCCCAGTGTCTGAGGGGGGAGAGAGGGCACGTCCCAACCACCGGGGTCAGAACCTCTGCTCTGAGGGGGCTTGGGGGGATGCCTGGAGTGGGGCGCTGCCTGGATTGGTGCTGTGGCCCGTGGCTGACTTTGGCCCGGCAGCCCTTCCCCACTTCTCTACATCAACGCCTGGGGCCAGGGTCACCCGGCCTGCTTGGGCCCTGAGCCCCTACAGGAGCCTTCCTTCCCACTGCCTGCCTGCTAAGCCCTCATCTTGACCAATCCCTCTGCCCTCCCTGAGCCTGGCCATTGGGTCTGGGGTCTGCACATCCTTCCCTCTGAAGGACTTCTGCTGGTCAGACTTTAAAAACTGTGTATATGTGTGGGTGAGCTGGGGAGCAGGGCGCCTGCCTCCTGCTTTGTGCTGCCCCAGTGCTCTTCCAGAAAACATTAAACCTGGAATTGTGTGTTTCAGCATCGTGGGCTCCTCAGTTTGGGTGTTGAACCAAATCCTCCTCCGTTCTATCCACCCCGCCCCACCGCCGGAACCCCGCCTACTGCCTGTTGGAGGCCTGGGGGCCCTCAGCTTGGTACCTGGGGACATTGGTACCCAGCAGGCACAGGCTGGGCCTTGAACTGCCTCATTCGTCACAGGAATGCATTTCACAGTTGGACATGGCCCCTTTGGACGCCCTGTAGGGGAGGAGCCTTCCTTGCTTCTTCCGGGATGGCCCCAGGTGTTCCATGGCTTGTGGCTGCATTACTCTAATCCCTGCCTATCTCTGTCTTCTTGTGGCCTTCTTTCCTCCCTTCTTTCCCAGTTGTTGGAATTAGGGCCCACCCTAAATCCAGGATGATCTCCTCTCAGGATCCTTGACTCTATTACATCTGCAAAGACCCTATTTCCAAGTAAGGTTACATTCACAGTTAGCGGGGTCAGGACCTGGACCAATCTTTTGGCCCATGGGTGGACACAAGTCAACCCACTACAGCAACTCGCAGGCTTGAATACACCCACCAACAGCCCCCTTTATGACCAAGTGGTGAAGAGCAGATGTTTCTTCCTCTCTCCATCGTTTGCCAACTGGGTTAGTGGCCAGGGCCCTTACCAGACTGCCAGCAGGCAGTGCAGAAGCTGTCTTGGTCCTGTTGGTGCCAGCAGGCTGGCAAACAGCTGCTGTCCTCCCTTTGCCTGGTTCTGGGGTGAGCCGGTGCAGCCGTGCTCGGCCTTGCGCTGGGGCCAGACCGGAGCAGGCGGACACTGCAATCCCGCTCCCTGCAGGACAAAGATTGGGCCTCACCGTCCTGCAGCTGAGGCCACCGGGCAGAGGGAACAGGGGCTGAGTGCATTTCCCAAAGGTGCTGGAAAGAATGAATCAGCTTCATCCAGGTGCCCACTGCGCGCCCTCTCTCCAGGGACAGTCACGTGGCGTGGAGCGTGTATCACCTGTCTCACTGCTGGCCAAGCCGGCGTGCAAGAGGAGGCAGCCTTTGCTCTGGAGCCCACCCAGTCCCGTTTCAGGGTCCCTCACTCTTTAAGCTCTTCCACACCCAATCTTCCACTCCCTTCCTGC